TATATATATATATATATTTAATGTACCCGCTCAATCACGGACCACGTGACCGTTGGTGGCCAACTTGTTGGATAACATAAGCGCTAAACCCCCTGTAAAATCTAAAATAAAATTACAAACCCTGATTTTTTTTAATTATACTTTATTTTGAAATTCAAACTTCAAATCTCAGAACTTTTCATCCATCGCTTTCTGGTTGATCCACTTGCGAGCAGACTGCAGAGCAGTAGGTATACATGCTGCCCAACTCCCGCTTCACAGAAGCTCCTCCTAATCCCTAATTTTCTCCTTCCATCTCGAATCATGAAGTGCTTCTACTTCCCTAGCACCGAACCCGGTGAAAGGGGGCTCGCCGGCGGCGGAGAAGGGACGGGTGGCTGGGCAGCTAAGGTGCCGTGGGCTCGATCATCCAGCATCGCGTCCAGCTCGTCAGAAACAAGGAGGTCCGGTTTCGTGCCCGGCGTGGGTGAGGAGACGTGGAGTATGGAGAGGAGACCGGAAGGGCTGAGGGCTTTCCGTTTCGCGGAGCTGAAGGAGGCTACGAAGGGATTCAGCCGAGCGATGCTCATCGGGGAGGGAGGGTTTGGGTGCGTGTACAGAGGGGTTATCTGCATTTCAGGGGAGGAGGAAGGTGTTGATGGCGTTAAAACGATGAATGTCGCCGTGAAGCAGCACAACAAGTATGGATCGCAGGCAAGATTTGAACTTCAGTTTTTCTTGATCTCTCTTTGCGCGTGTGCGTGTGTGTGCGCGTTTATGTTCTATATATATATATATCCATGATTGGTTTATCACATCTCCCTGAAATCGAGAAGATAAACACCAATTCATTGAAAATTCAATAATTTTTAATAGATTCATCACTTTTTGCATTTATTGATCTGGCTGGCCTAGATATAAAAGGGTTTAATCGACAATACATGTATTATTTGTATAAACATGCATATTATGAATTTTTATTATGGTAAAAAATTCTTATAATAATTCATAATATGATCAAATTCTATTACACATCAATATAATTCATGATTTATATATACACTAAGTATTTCTTAATAATTAAAACAATATATATGAATTTTTTAAAAAAAATTGCAAAAAAAAAAAAACAAATAGGCAAATAATCACATAAATTACTGTAAATAAATAGGCAAATTTCATAATAAATTATCAATAATTTAAAACATACTAACAACTAGCACGGAATTCACCTTAACAGAGAAATGTACATTTATCTTATGAAAAAGAGCAACCTACCTACTAAAAATCACAAGCAATCCAAAATTTTGATCATGATATTGATCTTTCACTATCCAATATATGGTGTTACAAAAAATTCTTTTATTGCAATCATCTCAAAAATTGTCTTATTAAAGTGAATCTATTAAACATTTGTGAACAATATATAAAAAATCTTATAGCATGCAGTATACAAAGAACCATAAAATAGTTTTGGCAGCATTTCTACTTGATGAAGCTGAGCGCTAGTGGCTAGCCCAACATAGGAAGAAGCTTCAAGGCAAACTGAATGTTTAGATTATTAGGAATAATTTACTAATACTTTTAGAGATTGGTTTATACTTCTGCCAGCCAGACAACAGATGCGTAAGTCTTTGCTGAGATTGATTTAAATTCGCAAGACGATAATGCTATATGAGATTGAGTTTAATGCATTAACAATATATGTTTCACAATTGGTTAGTAATCCAGAGAAGAGGAGCTACAAATTTTCTAGAGCACTTGGAAATAATTGTGGCATCCACGCTTTCATTTAGGATTAGGAAGGTCATTGAATTTGTGGAGAGGCCGAGATTAAAAAAAAAAGATATGATATCTACTTAACGACATGGATGTGAGCCAATAAGACTTGGACGAGTCTTCTAGAATTGCGTGAGTGAAATGAAGAGCCGATTTGGGTCATATGTCTCTAAGAGAGGTTATATAGCTGATACGTCATAAACAAATTTTCATCATCCGACACGAATCTCGAGGCAATATCGAATCTCGAGGCTCTCGAGGCAATATTTTGAGCAAGAAATATTAAAATCTTGATAAAAAGTCATCTAGAGCTCCGATTTCAGCAAACTTATAGTCAAACTGACTGACTCAATGAGAGGGACCTAATGATATCAAATTTAGTACAATCCAAGTCAGATCAAGCTCAGATCAAATCATTAAAACACTCTTGGATGATTTTCAGACACATTTGGAAGGTTAAACGGATGTCGAATTTAGCGAGTTCATAGACGAATCGAGCGTCTTGACACGTCGAATCCAACGAGCCCAAGATTACTCAATTCTGACATCGTTAAGACACTCAAATGTCTATCAAACGTCATCTGGTCGAGGGAAGCTCTCTGGACCGTCCGATCAAAATGATTCATATTTCTGCATTAATTGCACCTAGAACATTATAAATAAAGTCCCACCCTTCACATGAGAGGAAGCTTGAGAGAGAACTTGAGGCTTTGAGAAGGAATTCAAGTCCAACATCATTCTTGTCATCGTCGATCTTCGTCGACCACCACCAACCTTCATCAACCACTGTCGACCGTCATCGACCACCACTGACCTCCGTCAACCACGGCCGACCGCCGTCGACCACCGCCGATCACTGCTGACCGTCATTGACCACCGCCGACCATCGTCCGCTGTCAACCACCGTCGACTTTCGTTGACCTTCTATCATCGATCACCACCAATCATCATCAATCACCACCAACCTGACAACGTCAGTCAACGCAGTAATCTGAAAATCTAGTAATTATTTTCCGTCTATGGGACAAGGGGCATTTGTAATCATCAAGCTATAGTGGATTTTTATAACTGGGCCAGACCCCGTAGTTTTTCCCTTTACGGGTTTTCCACGTAAAAAACTTCTGGTGTCATCACTGGTTGTTTCCCTTTCATCTGAGTGTGTGTCGAATCCTCGTGCAACTCTAAGACGATAATCTATTACTCTACCGCCGCGAGTTTTCCAACACGCATCAATAACTTCTGAAAGCAAGGGTTCATCCATCTCAGTGGTAGTGCTCCAGTTTGTACTTTATGTAGAAAGAGATATAAAGTTATTTATTTTCTGGACAATGTTTCAAGTTTGATTAATCTAATCACAATATAACAATGTCCTCAGAAAGCATCTTAAAATAGATTAAATGCTCGAGTTGATTAGAGGGGTAATAAATAATACATAACAGTCCCACAAAAAACTTATAGTGAATGATCATCCAATAAAGGTGGTGGGAGATTGACTTGAAGGTAGACATGAGAGAGTCAGAGACAGTCTGTAGCTCCAATTGCAACTATTCCAGCTCTACATATGGTTTATAGTTTGACTCAGCAGTAGGCTAAGCATATATCAAATATTATGACGAGTACATATTTCATTTTTTCACAACCATGTAGTATTTTATTTTATTCTAGAGCTAATCATTTAGCTATATCTAAAAGTTTTTTCAATTGTTTGAGCATGTTTTCTATTATTTTAGCTTCTGGCTCAAATCTCTTCTTTTGTCCACTGAAGATTATTTGATGACTAGTTAAGTTTGTATCTGTAATATTGAGATTTTAGATAAAAAGTTTGAGTCTAAGTTGATTATATTAGTTTTGATTGAGTTTGATGTTACCTTGGGTTGACCTGTAATCGAGCCGAGTTGAGTCAGGTATGCCATGATTTGGACTTGTTATGGTATGGCTCATATACCATATAGGGACAGACGCTGGAACGAAGCGGAGCGAAAGAATCTGTCCAAATTGGGAAGATGCGTTATATGGGTTGGGGCTATACGGTACGGGGGTAATTTTAGAATTACATATTGTACTGCAGGGCTTACTCTAGGATTATAAATAGACCTGTTTGTAATCCTAGGTCTTTGAGAGAGTTGAATTTTGTATTCTGTATTCTTTTCTGAATATTGAAAAGGAGGTCACCGCTCTGCTCCCGAGGACGTAGGCATCTTTGCCGAACCTCGTTAAATCTCTGTGTTCTTCTGGATTTGTTTCATTCCTAGTTTTTCTTCGCCCTTATTTTCTCAACAGGACTTGACTTGATTGAATCATAAGTTGTTCATGTTCAGTTCAAGCTTGAGACAAACTTCAAAAATATGTTTATACTTTACTTGCTTAAACTTTTTTATTTTATTCTTGATTTGACTTGGCTTATTTTTATTAATTAAAAACTTAAAAATTCAAATGAATATTTAATTTTTCATATAGAATTAAAATTTTATTTTGCACATTTCATATAAAACTAGCAAATAAGTTAGTATTTATTGTTTTATATAAATTTATTAACAAATGATCTCACGAATCTAAATAAATAAGCAATTGGGTAGATTTAAAAATTAGTACCTTACTAGTTAATACTAAGTAAAAAAAATAGTATATAAGTTATAAGTAATTTTTTTTACAATCAAATAACATAAATAAGTACTAACAAATTAGTTTATTGAAATAAAAAATAAAAAATCATTTGAATTTATGTGTATATTAATCTTAAATTATAATATGTTACTATTAAATATATTATTAAATAAGTTTTAGATAATCAAATTTTTTTTAAGTAATATATCATGTAAGTAAATACAAGCGAGTCGGTTCATGAATATTAATAATTGAGTTGGACTAAGTTCAAATTTGATTCATTTTTTCAGTTGGGGAAACATTTTTTTTTTTTTTTTTTTGTGGTTGACAAAACTGCATTTTGTCTGTTTTTTCAAAAAATTACGGTTGAAAGCTGTGTTTTGCAACATGATCTGACTAAGTGTTATGACGGCTAGAAATTTACTGTTTGACTCTTTGAAATAAAAAAATTATAATAACCACCGCAGTGTTTTGAACAACAGCTTCTTCTGCAGCAGTTTCACAACTGTTTCTTCAAACAACTGTAGTTGTCTCAAATAGACTCTTGAACAAACATGTTCAAGTATTAATCGAGTCGAGTTTGGATTGTTCAGGAAGTGTATTCGTTCATTTACGGCCTTAATCTCGGGTATGGATTGATTGAGTAGACTTGTATAGATAGTAGTTGAAAGAGGGTGGTTTTATATGTTGGCGGTAAAATATTTTATTTTTAGGGTGTCAGAGTTATGCCATCATCTTTTATATAAACTATGTAGGTGGCTAGATTATGGAGGAAGGGGATCAACCTGACACAGTGGCATCCTTAATAGTTTTAGTGGTTTTATTCTCATATTTCACATGAGCAAGAAATACATGATTCTCTTTCTGTCACATTTGTCACATCCTGGTCTTGTAGATTCATTATTTTTCAAAAGTCATACATCGCATGCATATGCAATTATTTAATATAATACATATCAAAAAAAGTGCAGAAAAGAAATTAACCTTAAACTACCCAAAACTCTATCACTCATCTACTGATCATTTCTTTAGCTATGGTTACAAATTAACTCTTCCAAATTCGTTGCTCTAATACCATTAAAGTAACTATCACGACTCAATCCTGGGCTTGTACATTATCTAGCAACTATTATTGGATGCAATTTTACAAAATATTAGCACATGGAAACAATGGTTTTGATTATAATTCACCATTTCACTTCTAGTTTAGGGACATAGAGAATGGATTACAGAAGTCAACTACTTGGGTGTTGTCAAGCATCCAAATCTTGTAAGATTAGTTGGCTATTGTGCCGAAGATAATGAGAGAGGAATTCAAAGGCTCCTGGTATATGAACTAATGCTGAACAAGAGTTTGGAAGATCACTTATTGGCGCGAATTCCATCAAAGCTGTCCTGGGAGCTGAGATTAAAAATAGCCCATGGTGCTGCACGGGGTTTAGCATATCTTCATGAAGAAATGGATTTCCAGGTAATTGTACACAATATTGCTTCTTCTTTTCTTTTTTTTTTTTTGGTTGGAAGAAAATAACTTTAAGAATATCTTCTAATGCTAGATGTAATTTTATATATTTTTTGCAGTTAATATTTCGAGATTTTAAGTCTTCAAATATTCTGCTAGATGAAGATTTCAATGCAAAGCTCTCGGATTTTGGACTCGCTAGACATGGTCCATTAGAAGGAGTTTGCTGTGTCTCGACATCAGTAAGCTTCAAATCAACTATTTTGGTTTTGTCACCTCAAGATTACATTTTTGTTGGTCCTTTTATAGAAGACACCGTTTTTCTCAAGTGTTTTTACTGCATTTAAGTGAGTGCATCTTAAGAAAACATATGCGCAAGTAGGGCTGTCAAAACGGCTCGTTGTTCGCGAACAACTCATGTTCGGCTCGTTAAGAAGCTCGTGTTCGGCTCGTTAATTTCGTTCGATAAGTTAACGAGCCGAACACAA